TTTTTTGGCACTTAATGTTAGCATTTATGATGGACAGTTTATGTAAATAGCAATCTATTGAACAGTTTTCGTTCCGTAATCCGTAGGTATATTAAGCTTAATATGCTAATGTCATGTGAAACATTTCACATAGGTACTAGTGGCATAACTTGGACCTTAATTTAAGGGGTGATATGAGTATTTATCATTATTAACAAATAGAACATACGTATTAAACAAATTGAATGAATATAATAAAATATCTAGTTTTCTGGTTTTTTTGCTAGCTCCTCAATTACTTAACCAACCTGTAAGTTAATGTGCCTATTTATGGACGTAGTAGCTAATCCATTTAGTATTGCCTGAAAAAAATTGTTAGTTTCTTGTAAACTGGTAGACAATTAAAATCAAGTTAAAATTAAAACCCAAGTACATACTTCTGATATACTATTAAGTAAGTAAATTTATAAAAATGCGTTGGAAAAAAAGGTTTTGACCTAATKGGTTTGATATATCACCCACATCACCCCCACCATAGTTACGCCACTGGCCCATAACTATCATTATGTCGATTATACAATATTATAACACAGTGTGATTGGCRCATTTCATTACTACTTCACAGACCATAATAACAGGTCTACTACTGTCTAATCGTCTACCGGCTATTATTCTGATACTTAGCTCTGATGGCGACTATTGAATTGGTTCCCAATTTTGGTAACACTTGAATTGGCTACTGAAAAATATTTATACTTGAATTGGCATCCTAAACTGTAAAATATTATTATTTAAACAAGGGTTCTCATATTATATCCATTTACTTTCATGACGTCAACCTAACCAAGCCTAACCAAATAGATAGTCAATTCAATAGTAAATTCTTGGGAACCAATTCAAAGGTACTAATCCGACTAATCAAGCATAAAATATTGACTAACTGTATTTGGAAGTCAATTCAATTGCACCGATTCTTATTAGGTAGRTACTCATTAGTCATTACTCATTACTATTACTATAATTATTACTCATACTGGCAATTTTTTTTTAAATACCTTTACCTTTACAAAAATTATATATCATAATATAATATAGTACAATCAATATATACCTACCTACATAATATGTTTTATATATAGATTGTACATATTTGCAAACAAATAACAGTTAGGAATCCCATATTCCCATACATCCCGTATTTTACGGGATTTTCCCGTATTTAAAGTGTCCCGACACGAGTTTTGTTAATTGCAAGCATAAATTCCCTAAATTAWAYCTAATGTTAATTACAGATATATGTATAGGGTATAGTATCCGGTATTTAAAAAAAATAAATCTGGGATCCCTAAACCAACATATCAATACACGGAATATTTCGGGATAAGCTCCGTAATAGCTTAAACGATTTGGCTTTTTTTGTTTTTTGTAAACAAAATTATCAGGAAGTCTACTGGAAAATTAGGAAATGTGGATAGGTAGCAATAATACAAAATTTGCGCCATCTGTCCAGCATTTAGAGTTTGCATTTTTTGTACGGACTGAGTTATAAAAAATCTTTAGTGCAGGCAATGCCGAGCGGGACAGTTAATCTTATATACCTAATGCTAACGTCTCTGTCTCAAAAATCGTTACCCACTCTGAGCTAATACTGTATAAATAAATACATTGGATTTTCAAGATGTACCTATTTTTTATTTTAAACAAAAACAATTTTTAAATTATAGAGCAACTTTAAAATTGAAAAATATTTCTAACACCTTAAGTACCTATACATGTTTACATGATAAGCCTGATACATCTTTTTAATTCAATACAATTTTCATTTTAAAATACTGTTTTAAAAAAATGTAAGTATTTGCTTTTTATTTAGATAAATTTCGTTTATCTTTTATACTCGTATAATAAATATATAATTTTAGTTAAATTTATTTTTATCTTCATCTAAATAGATTTTATGTCTATTATCTTTATCTAGACGAAAAACTATTTATCTGGTCTCAATCATCGATTAATATATACTAAGATATATGAGTATGTAGCATGTGTTATGAAAAGAGGAGTATAAATCAAATTAAAATTTCAAAATTAAAATTCAGCTTCTGAAAGTATATTTTSTTCCGCTTATTGAGCTAAATGTATGAAATGGTTGTCCCAACCCCATTAAGAGGACGCCACACATCTATATTTCTAATGTAAAAACACGTTTCGCGGGGACAGACACCAATCCGTATACATTGAAAGTAGAATGTTCAAACTTTCAGAGTTTTTAAATGAGAATTGTATCTATGATGTAGTGTTCGTATTTTGTTGATAGTATAATTATATATGAAATTATAAATCTGTAAAAATGTATCAAATTTTTAAATTTTTATTAAATTGTATTAAATTATTGAGTTGAGCTATCAAAAAAATAAAAACACTACATCATAGATAAAATTCTCATTTATGAACTCTGAAAATTTGAATATTTTACCATACATGTATACTGAATGGTATCAGTCCCCGCAAAACCCTTTTTTTGATCTGAAAAATTACGAAAATAATTAATTATATTTCTTTTACGCGCCCCCAGTGGAGACCTACAGTATTACTATCCATCGCCCGTATAGCTAGTATGCTATTATAGTGTACCAAATTACCAACACCGGTTTAATTAATGACWATCACAATTCTTAGAATATTATGTATAAACTGGTGATAGCCGATAGGCGGCATATTATTCAATTATTGACAAAAATATCATAATT